AAGTGAGGTGCTTCGTTTCTTCTTTCTCGATGGATCACCAGATCAATATGTTCTTATGACGGTGAAACTGCCCTGGTTATCACTCATCAGAAATGACCATCCAAGGACAGAGCCACTAAAATAAGAACATGATCAAAATGGCTCAAAGAAATGAGGGGGGATCCAAATTAATACCCACAAGTGCCTCAATTGCTCGAGAGCATGCCTATATCAGCCATAACTGATCATCGTAGCCCTGGCCATGTCCCATGCAGTAGCCGAAGCAGAGCAGGAGGAAGATGGAGCTCACCGAGGGAGGTTGTAGCTGAGGCAGTACTCAGTGGGCGCCGGGGTGGCGCCTGAACGCCGTCCAGCCGGCAAGGAACCGCTTCCTACACCGCACATCCACGACGCTGCATCGGAGTTGCGCCTTGCACCGTCCAACCGATGAGCACGAGGATGAGGTCATGCATAGCACATCCAGGAGCTTCCTGATGGCTGGCTAGCACAAGGGAGGGCCGACGCGATCCCGCATCAACGACATGAATTTGCATAAATCCATCCTTGCTCTTACCATGTTTTCTGCAAAACACACATAAAACCCAAGCATGTTAATAGAGCACAACCAGAATCTTCTATCTCATATGGAGATTAAAAGGAACAACAATAAAGGACATATGAAACCAGTGGCTCAAATTTACACACATGATCAAGAAAATGGCAGAGTGGGCAGCATATATATGCAGCAATCCATCTCCATGCTCTTATCATGTTTTATAAAATCCAGAGTGACGCCTACCATCAACAACATAACTTGCATAAAGTGACACCTACGGTTAGTAATACTGGAGTAAACCTCACTATAAATTAGAGCACGTTGATACTCTTTACAGGGATAAATTAGAGCAAAAACTGGAAAACAAATTATGGTTACATACTATCGTCAGGCATGTCCTACAGTGAAATAGAGACTGAGCAGTGAGGGAAGGTGAGAAAGAAATTATATTTGATGAGAATCGATTTTGGTCCTTAGTATTACATGGATTTATCAGTCGATGCACATGAAGGGTGGCTTTAGAATTTTCTTGTCTTACTTAAAAAACAGATCTACTCAGCATGCACATCTGAGACATACATTCAGAGATCAGGAGAACCAACTAATGTCACCGTTATTATTTTTTAGCAAGCACTGTATCGTTATACTGGTCTCAAATTTGCACATCCGCTTTTGCAGCTTTATTGACCATAAAGCAACAATATAAAAATTTACCATGAAGAACATAGCACATCACCCGTCCATAAATCATGAATTGCACAAAAGAATAATAGAGAAACAAGAGGGAGCTGGTATACCTACGAACAAGATGAAATTGGCAAGGTTGCCGACAAGGAAGTCCAACTCTGTCCAAGGACTCCTACACTTTTGGGATAGATGTTGTCGCACACAGAGCAGGCCCTAGCCATGGAATTGAGCGGAGCTCAGGGGAGAGGTGGACAATGCCGCGAAGATGAGAGCACACCTACAACAATCATTCTAGAGAGCTCAAGGTAAGGCCTGTAAAAAATAGCCAGCAATAGAATTAGGCAACAGAAATATCAACCTAACCAAGTATGTAAGATTTAAGACTATAAGGCATGCACTGAAGCAAACAATCAAGGCTGAGAAACAAGTGTCATGTCTAATTGCTCTTTATTGCTGTTGTAAACTAAAACAGAAACCACCACAAACAACTATATATTGTGCATACATTAATCAGGGGCACATTAAAACAAAAAAGCATCTAGTGGGGTACTCCTAATTATCGTATGACCTCAAGAAATTTGGCAGGCCTAACCCCCCTCCTCAACAACAAAGCCATACTGTATGAAAAAAACCTAGCTAGATCCAACGCTCCCCTGGACAACAAGGTACCCGCAAAAAAAGGCAGATCCAAAAATCCCCTTCCTCTATTTTAGCCTTCATCTCTCACCAGATCCATTTATTCATCCAAAAACACCCATCATAAGGGCCACACAAAAGCACTAAAGCATCTCATGGGGTACTCCTAATTATCACATGATCTATCACATTTGGGTAGCTTCCTTTGTATTCTTGGGTACAGTGTGATGAACATTATTCAATGAGAAACCAATTTTGGCTAGCAAGAACACAGGGTAAGCCTCAAACTCACCATGGCTAAGAAAAGGTCGCCGCTCGCATGAGAGCCAATTTCAATTTCCAAGAACAGAGGGTAAACTCCAAACTCACCATGGAATCCTGCCTTTGCTTCGCTCCTGCTTCTTCTGACAAAATTAACAAAGTTCAGAAAAGATTAGTAGGAGCACGAGATCCTGGAGGCACAAACTCCGGACATCAGAAATTACTTTTTGAAAAGAAGAAGCATTTTGACCTTTGTTAGGCTAAACAAAAAAAGAAAGATCGTGATAATATTTAGATGACAATCGAGGTGGTTTGCACAATCTGACATATAAGTTCTAACTACACATGGATAAAGACAGATGGCCAATTACCTGATAGACCTATTGTTGTGGTTATGTTGTTGTCCATCCAATAAAAAAGAAGATGTATCCTTTCTTCTGTAGGAATCTGAGAGGGACACACAAGTTGTTCCAAGTTGTCCTGACCAAAGACAGAGTCAGTATAAGACCAAAAGAAGTAGACCAACAATCTTGACACATCTCATATTCAAATGCATATGCAGAAAGACCAATTTGTCTCCTAGTATCAGATTGGAACAAAAAATTCCTCGAGAAAGGACACAGCCTCAGGACAAATCGGTCCTCCTAAACAGAAAATAAACAGGTACCCAACAAGCTAAGGAAGGCAACAAAAACTACTGTGTAGATACCTAGGACACATCTAGTTCTACCCACCCCCTCAATTCTAACCTATTCACACAATGCAAAACTGAAGAACACAACATCATGAGAAAAAAATGCAAAGCTGGATCTGCCTCTCTATGAACACCACACCAAGTTGCTAGGGTTTTCTATTCCACATTGAACAATCTGAAATCTCCAGGTCCAGATTCTCTAGGGAGGGAGAGGGGGAGGGGGGAGAGATGCACCTGGAGGTCTAGCAGGCGCAGCAGGAAGGAGTGGTGAGCTCGTCGTTGCCGCTGCTCTCACGACGAGCTTGCAGCCGCGTTTGCATCAGCCCGACCGCTGTGCTCCTCCTGCCGTGTGCACGCGAGGACGATGGCGGCGTTCACAGCAGTGGCTCCACGTCTCCCGCACTCCTCCTGCCGTGTGCACGCGAGGACGACGGCGACGACGCCGGTGAAGTGGACGGCGGGGATTCGGGCGCGGCACAAGACGAGACGATGGCACATCGGCCTCGTCGCCCGCGGCCCCGCCAGGTGCCGGAGCCGGACTCGCAGTCGACGGATCCGACGACCGCGGCGTGAGGCGCCCATCCACCCCGACGTGGTTAACCCGCGGCGCCGACGCCTCCGGCCACAGCGGTGCGAACCCGCGGACGCACATGCCCACCCCGTTGCGGCCGCATGGGTTCACGACCCCGGCGGACGGAGTCGAATCGAGGAGGAGGAGCAGCCGGCCGCCGGAGGCGAGGTCCACCCCCACCATCGAAACCCTAGCGGGGGAAATCGATGGGGGTGACCGCATGAGGTGAGGACAAGTAGATCGACGTGGTGAAGCTAGTAGAGCTCATCCAGGAGCAGCTGTGTGTGTGTTGGGTGGCGCCAAAGCTCGCCGGAGCGGCCGAAATCGGCCGGCGACCGAGGCGGCGACAGTGGGGATCGAGAGAGTAGGCAGGAGGGGGGGTGACGGGAGGAAGAGAGATGGGCTGCGCGAGTGCGGGAGAGAGGCAGCTAGGGTTTCTCCACATGCGGCACGGCAGTTTATATGCCTGTATGCGAAATGACGGAAATGCCCTTGACGGGGCAGGTTATTTACACGCGGTGGCACGACCGGGGCGCATCGGTCCAGATCGGACGGTCTGCGAGCGCCGGGTTTCGATCGGGTTTCGATCCGGCGGCTGAAATCGATCCGGAGCGAGATCCAGCGGCAGGAAGTGCATCAAGGTTTCGATCGGACGGCCGAGAGTGCCTGATCGCTGAGGAGCCTCCTGCATCCATCCCTCCCATATTTCTGGATGAGAAAGCGACGCCGACGCGATCCTTCTTCTTCGCCAGCAAGAAAGAAAAGCCCCACTTTACAAGCCGGCCGTCTCCCGAGGACCCATCCGCGAAACCGCGACAAAACGCAATCCCAGCCGCCCACCCGCCAACCCCGCCCAGATCCGAAGGCCCCCGCGCGCGGAGTCCCAGCGGCCGGGAGGGGCAGACCGGTACTTCCCCACCGGTGGCTCCGCCCACCCCCCTTTATCTCCCCCTCCCCCACCTCCCGGTCCTCGTCCCTGGTGACGCCCCCAATCG